AATCGATCTCATTTTTCTTTTTACCGACAAACATATAATTTCTCAATTATTCTTTTATATTACAATGAAATGTTGTTCTCATTCTATCGTCTTTACGCAATAAGTAATAACAAGACTATGAAAACAAAGTGACCACTAATCGTAGCCAGTTAGATGTGTGACATCATTTTGTATCGATTAGTACATATGAGTGACGATTATAATAATAGTTATTTCATTTAAAACTGAAAATTAAACTACACTTTTGTATTAAATAGGATGTGAAGTTGAACTTGGTACGATAAAACAATTAATTGACGCACCGACAAATGAAATCAATCATATTCTGCGGTGTGACTAGTGTAAAAGTTGATAACGTAGAAAAAAAAATTCTTACAATATTTTTTTGTGTTCTTTTCTCATCAATAACACGATATATGAGAACGAGAAAGCAAATGTGCTCCTGTGAAAGTTGATAAAAATAAATTGAGTGATCAACATTCAGTTACTGAATACATATCAAAAAGAAAAAAAATGTTTTACTCACCACATTCTAACATCAATATGTATGTGCAATACATCACTAATTGAATCAATCAATCAATCGTTGATCAAAGAAATATTGAAAAATATTGTACTCTACTATTTTATTGTATTTATCAGTATGCCTACGGATAATAATACGATACATTTCGAAGATGATACGATTATTTATAAGGTCGTATATATATCTGAATCGATTATATCAATCGTTCTTATTCAAATATATATTTATGATTGTGTAATACTTTTCTTTTTGTAATAACTCAATGTTTGTTTATTAATCATCAAAGTTTTATACGAATTCTAGTACTTATTTGAAAAGCTATGCAATACTATAATGTGTTCAATATTGATATTAATTAAATGGATATACAGTATCATCAGTTGTTTCTTTTTGTACTGATTATTCAATAGGTCTTGGTATAACTATTGGTTAATGTTCAGATATAATTAATGTTATGAATAGATCGTATTTTCTCATTTGTTATCAGAGTCAGTTATGGCAACCATTATTTCTTCAAATATGCTCTGAAAGTTTGACCGTAACTTAAAGCATTCCTTATAGGATTGATTTACACATGAGATCTGATGGTGGTTATAATCACTGATTTATTGTCCAATACTTGCTCTGTTTTATATGCCTGTGGGAATTGACAAAAAATGCTTCTATACTGACAATGATCAAGTACGTGGTCGATATGGTAATGAAACAAAGGAATGTACTAGTGCATATCCTTCAGCATCATTATAGAATGGAACAATAGTCCTTTCTACATTATACATCATTGATAACAGGTGGGAAGATTGGTGATTGATATGTAACAGTCATTCATATGAGTGCAACACAAGTTTATTTACTATGTTTTATATCTATAAGATATTTAATACATAAATTCAGATTTTTCTAGCTGCTTGTCTTTCATTGTTTCCGACTACGACACAAGTTTTTTTTTAATAGAATACAACAGGAACATACTGCTCCTGTTCTAGTATCTTGGCAATTTATAGAAAGAAGCAAAAAGTCACACATGATTTCGCTTTTTCTTCATCAATAAAGTCGGTGTTGTTGAGTGAAACATAAAACTGTTCAAAATAATTTTCAATTGAGTGTACGCTCAAGTGAAAATGAAAAGTTGGAAAGAATTGAAGGAACGAGGTCAGACAGAATAGTAGATGCACTATTAAATAGTTAATGTTGCTTGTTTCTCTCTCTTTGACTCCATTGATATATTAAGTTACTCACTTGGAAAGTGAAACTATAACTATGTTTATTCAACAACTTATAGTCAAGATGTACACATTATCAAAGAACCATAGGAGATCAAGATGAAAGATTTCGTCTTTTTTGAAAAATATGTCTTGTTAAAGATGTGCATATTTCTCTGTTTCACTCTTTTTCTTAGATTCAATATTTAAAACTACGTATAGGAATGATACTAAATTGACTTTAATCCGAATAAGCTTTGGTGACAAAGCTTCGAATTGTGTTCATTGTCATACTTATAGGTCATTCTAGTAAATATATCTAGATTTATTTTTGGTTAAATGAGAATGTCAAATATTTTTGATTTTTTTAGTATTGAAATGAGGTAAATATATTTTTTTACAATTATTCTTTTTTCATGTTGTGTGAGAATCTGTTATTAAGCGTCATATCTTTACAATTCATAAGACCTTTTGTACCGAAGTTTTGGATATCTTTTCTTCGATTGCTTTACAGCGTAATCATGTAGTATGCTTGGTTTTTTTAAAATTCGTTTCTGTGTCATTGTTATGAAACATTGTATCATGATGCGTCATTTACAAAAAAAAACATCATGATAATTTTGAGTGCATCACTAAGCAGCGTTGTAGTTTTATCCAAATTTTATTAACAAGAGATTCTTATGTATGCATTTATCTATCGGAACTTTAAAAAAATTGATTTAGTTTGATAATATAATTGACAAAAGTGAGTAAATATTTTTATACAGTTAACCATAAATGGTAATCTACTCGCTGAAATCAATGATTTACATGTTCAGATTCTTGGAGTTTTTACCATCGGTTCCGATCGAAACTGGAAAAAACCAGTCATTGGACTCCTCCTGCTCCGATTTCCTACTATTATATGAAGTTCTATGACCAGAACCGGCTATATTTCATTCACTTGGATATGTAGAAATGATTTTGTAAAAAACTATTTGTATAGTAAGTTAAGATAGATAGTGACAATCACTGAAGTTGTGTAAATAGATTTTCTGTTAAGATGAATCGTAGAGAACATATCTCAATGGCGATTTAGTGGTTGTACATTAAGGTTTTTAAAGCATTTCTGGCACAACAAATAATAACAAGACTATTTTTGACTGCTCAAAAGCAATGTATTCACACATTTTCATTACAGAATAGGTACTATGCTGAATTATGATTTCGTACTTGTAACTCTTTGATGACGTTTGTTTTCAGAAGATGCAAAATTTGCGCTCTTTTTTGTAAAATATCCTGAAATGAGGCGTATATTTCCAAAAAAACCTAGCAGGTTTTGTGAAGAACCATAAAATTCTCTAGCACCTGAGAATTACGCAGTCAAGTAGAATGGCATTAAATATTATGAAATTCTGCAAGTGGTTTCATGGAGAACTTTGAGATCCCATATCAAAATAGAGATCTTATATAGTTTAACATTTGAAGATCTGTTACATAAGCCTTTTAGTAAAAATTTGTAACGTCATCGAACAATAATAGATCTGGTATTCTGTTTGGCTTGAAGTTGTTCTAAAAGACTTTGAGTGTAGAGATTCCATAGGTTTTCTCGTTTCTCTGTGATATGCATGTAATAGTGCCGCACGATTAACTTCTCTTGTTTTTGTTACTTCACTTAAATGTTAATAAATTCTTTAAATATTTTTCTTCTATTAGACAACGACATCTTTTCTTGCTACTTATCGATCAGACGTTATAAATAGTCGAAATACAAATGTGATATTCAACTCACTGATGAAACAAATTCAAAGAGAAAACAAAACGATACCACACTATCGTACTATTCTACAATAACCTTCAACCATTGCACTAGCATTACCATTATTAGATTTATATCTGTTCGACAGTCAATAAGCATAAAAAAGCTAGCTGAAAATGGTGACAATGGCAACTATCTATTGATTGATAAACATTTGCGATTTTTACAAGAAAAGAAATATTAGTTTTTTTTTCATATAGCAAAACGCAATTTCTCTATTGTATTCAATGTACTAAATATGTATTTATCGTTTTATTTTCAATTTAACTTATTACTTTAGCACTATGTACTCGAATTTTAAAAAGAAAGACGAAATTCAAAAGTCAAAATACACGGTTTTGTATTATTTGATGTTCGTTGAATTCTCACAGAACTGCTAATTGTTATGCAAGGTATTCAAACTTTTTTCCATACTCTTTGCTGCAGTTTCGTTCATCGATCCATGAAAAGAACTGTACAAGTATTTGAATTGACGAAAAATACCGAAAAGGAAAATGCCAAATAGTCAAAAAGTCGAAAAAAAAGTAGGATGATGTCGAAAAGGGAAACATAGAAGACTAAAATAGCGAAAGGGAGACCATCGAAAAACAGGATGAAAAGAAGGAAAATATCGAAAGGAAAACACCAAAAACAAAGTTGAAAGAATGCAATTGAATAAATAGATATCTGTGGGTGTGAGTATGAGTGTGAATAAATGGGGTACGGGTGTGGGGATGTGAAAGGTAGATGAGTGTGGGTGTGGGAATATAAGGAGTAGATGGATGTGATTATGGATGTGGGTGTGTGGGTAGATGAGTGTGAATGTGGGTATGGGAATTGATGTGAGAGTGGGGGTGGATGAGTATGGGTATAGGTATGTAGGGGTGGTTGTGAGAGTATGAATTTGCAGTTAACCCACCTATACCCATACTCACACCGACAATCACATATTAATCATTACCGATACCCTGTTGATCGGAGGACAAAAAAGTAAGCTAAACATTTATTTGTTATTTTCATATGTTTTCTTTTTTTTTTAAATATTTTTCAATAAAATGTCCGAGTAGTAAATCTGTAGCTAAAAAATTTCCTTGTCGATACTCTACATTTCGATGTTCTTCGTTTCGCTATTTTAGTCTTCTATATTTTCCTTTTCGACCTTTTCCACCAAAACCCAAGTATTGAGGCCATTACTTTTGCAGAGAGGTTTTTACTTCTATAAAATCAAATATAACAAATATTTGATTAACGTATAAGATAAAATAGATAAATAAAACGCTTTATTTTGTTACCATCTATTGCAAAAAAATTTTTCTACGTATTCTTCTACAGGTAAAAGACTCGTGGGTCTGACTATAAAGTTAAGAAACAGAATGAAAAAAAAGGGTTGCTGTTTATCTTAGGTTTTTTTTCTTTCTTACTGTTTCTTTTCTTTTTACTTTTTGTTTTTTACAGAACTGGTTTACCACAGTCACTCAGTCATTCAGAAAAGAGAATGTCAGCGGCTCAGGTAACTGCATCCGCCACACAATCACGGGACAGTATGGTTGACTTTTGTCAAGTAAACAGTTTTCGTTTGCAATAGAACTAAGTCTAATTATTTTTTTTTAATCTCTTAGACTGTCACAAGTTTGAATATTGAAGATTGTATTCATTTTCTTCATCAATATAATTGGAAACTTCAGGTAAAATAAAATATTGTATTGATTGTTGTAAAATTTTTTGATTATTTCTTGAATAGGATCTTTTAGACGATTTTTACAAAGGGAAGGAATTTAAGAATATACCCAATAAAAATTCAAATGAAAAAATCGAAAAAAATAGATCTTCATCAACATCTACTCAAAAACCAAGTAAGAATGTAGAAAACAAAATTTTTCTGTTTATAAATACATTGTATTGTAAAATACAATCGAAAAGAAGTATCAAAATATAAGAGTAAACATTTAGACTCGTTCTTTCCTTTCAACAGACCGTGACAGATATCGTAGTATTAAAGCTCCTTCCTTTTATGCACCACAACACATTTACACATGAAATGTAAGGCTAATTTAGCATTCATATAAAAATTGACTGAATTCAAGATCCTTGCTCTTTATTCTTCTTTCTCACTGTCTACAACATATTACGAGTACACTTATTATCATTGACAGACATTAACAGTAGGTACTAGTTCATAAGCCAAAACATATGTTAGTGTAAATTCTCTGATTTGCAATATAAACAAATCCATGATGTTTCACATTTGAATTCTACACAGATTGTACTAACACTTTTTTTTTAATTAACGGTTTAGATAAATCCAATACGAATAACGACCAAAACCAACAAGTAGTTGAAGAAGATGATCTCTATTATGCTCAACTTCTACATTATTATGGTGATGCAGACGAATCAGCAAGAAGATGTTATTCAGAGGAGCAACATAATCAACGACCACAACAATTTCAGCCACCTCAACAATTTCGACAACAATCGAAAGAAAATATTAAAAATGGGGTGAGAATTTAGAAATATTTTGTGCGTTTGAAATGTGATATTTCCTCCTTGAATCTTAATAATACCTGATTTTCTCTAATGAAGCTTAAGAATTTTCTGATGTTCTGTTAGGAAAAAAAAAACATTTTATTTTATTTTAGCCTATTTATCATGAGAAACAAAAATATCTTCGATGTGGTGTTCATGCATTAAATAATCTATTTCAACGCGAAAATTTATTCACTCATGAATATCTTGATGGTATTGTGCATCAATTTGATAAAAGATATGAAAATAATGATTATGGAACATCATGGATAGGTGATTATGATTTACGTATATTAATAGAAGCTATTAAACGGCAAGGACATGCTGTTCAACAAATAAATTTTTATAGTAGTGAACCACTTCAAAATCTTCCATGGGATTCTTATTTTGGTTTATTGATTAATTTAAATGGTGCACATTGGTTGACAATTAAATGTCTTAATGGAATTTATTATAACCTTGATTCAACATTAAAGAAACCATGGTCAATTGGACCAAAAGATTATTTAGTTAATTATTTAATTTTTCTTATTCAGAGATTTAAGAGTGTATATTTATTTGCTGTATTATAAGAAATACATTAAACATAGTGATGTTCGTAATTATTTAACATGTAAAAAATAATATGTGAGAAAAATTCTATATATAGATATTTTTTTCTCGTTGAAGATACTAATTCTAGTAAATTTGATCGATGATGTGAATTTTTTTAATACATTTGATACTCTTATTGTTAAAACCAAGAGTCTAATGTGATGATTTTGAAAAAAGAATTAAAATAAAATTAATAATAGATTTAAAAATGCGTAGTTCGTTTTTATTTAAAGTGAGAAGTTCGACATACGTGATTTTCATGCTTGCCATCTCAAAAAGAATTATTATCATGGACATGAAACATATTTTTCTTCAAATGTTAGGAATTATGAAATTTGATACAGATACATCATGAGTTATGTTGATTCTCATCATACATGAAACAGAAATTATTTTAAAAGATTTAGAATAAGGGAATCTTTCAACAACAAGTGAACTCATGATCAAACAGTTTCATTGCTTCCATAGTACATTATGAATTTTTAACGATACTTTATTATTTCCTAATGTTTATTTACTTTGACTCAAAAAAAATTGAGTCATACACAAAGGTCGATGAAATATGACTCACTGAAAATTTATATGTCAGTCAAAACTTGTATGCTAAGTTGACCACAATTTAACCATTTTCTTTTTTTTTTTCGTTGATCATCCACAATAGCGAGTGATCGAGAGAGAAGCAAGCTTTGCATCTATTCATTTTTCATTATTATAAATTATTTTATCTTGAATGCAATATTCAGAGTTAAGAAACAGCAGAAGTCATAGTCGAAATGTTGAGAAATCTAAATTATTATTATTTTCTTTTTATTTGAAATATTTTAGATTAGTCCATGATGTCCATTCTTTTCTGATCCTCAGTAAGAGAAAATGTATGGAAAATTCACAAAAATATTTCTTTTTGTAAATACAGTAATTTCAAGATGGTTTAAACCACTCAGCTTTTCTAATGATATAAAAAATTCTAATTAGATAAATACATTGGTTGTTTCGACGATGATTTTCTTGTAAGAGACACTTTCTTTTATTTAAATGTTTTCTCTTGTTAAAAATAGTTTTTAAAATATCCGTATTTTTAATATCTTTAAAATACTAACTGCTTTAAAGATTCTATTTTCTTTTGCAAAATAAACTTAAAAGCAATAAATAACATTAAGATCGACTCTTTTATTTGAATTAATTAATGCTTTTCAGAAAGTGCTTCAATAAATTTGTTTCCGTTGTTTTGTTTTTACATAGAAAAAATGCTTGGTATTGAATGCTTGTCATTAATCACTTGATTTTTCTTTCTTTTACTCATCCGTTCTGAAATAGAACGTGAACCCAATTTGCTTTTCAATCTATGTGATGAGACTGATTGTAATAATAAGCATAAATGTTCAATTTCCTCTAAATGTCAATGAAAGTAGTTGAATAGGCAGCTGTGGTTTTATGCTTTTCTGGATCTGGATTCACAGTTCTCAATTGTTGAGCTTTTGAAACGTATCTTAGGAGAAGATTCTAATCAATACTACCATATACTGTTTAATGAGTGAATGTCCGACAAGAAAAATTAAGTCAAATTTTTTCTTAACTTTTCTTGAAACAATTATTGTTTTTGGCAAAAAAGTACATACATTGTTTTTATGTATACTTGACGAATCATTAAGTAAAATAACATTCACGCTTTTCACATGCTACAGCTTTAAAAAAATTGAGAGCATGAGTAAAACAAATTTATCATTTAATGGTCTTCTGTTTCTCATTCTCTAGGGAAAATATTCATAAGCCAAAAAAAAAAATGCTTCTTCATCATGGTGACCTTCTTCGATAACGAACGATTTTCTTTTCTAGAAAATGTTCCTGTGATCATCACTGTTTCTTTTTTTTTTTTTTATATCTCTTTCATTTGTTTTTATAACATGCGACCAATCGAAAAGTATCCGATCAGCTATTTGTTATCGCTCATATATTGCCTAATTTTGTGCAATCATAAGAAAAAATTAAGACACACGTTAACGAACTGTTTGAATGTTATTTACACTTATCACCAGACAGTGAGAACGTATCCTAATAGTACTTGTGTTACTACAACTTAAATCAGTTGCATTATTTTTAAGAAAATAAACAATTTTTTGTGCCAACTGAGATGTAGGAGTCGTTCAGAACAATAGTTATTTGATTACTCTTTATGAATCTACATTCTTTGAATGTCAGATAATCACGCATCCATCTACGTAAATGACAATATTGTTTTCTACTTAATTGAAAAAATGAATTTGTTTCATAGGAAGTATTTGAGAGTTATTAGAATAATGGTGTTGATTGCTGTTTCTGATAAAAAATTAAGCATTAATTGAGTACTATTCATTGTTAATCGAAAAAACTTTGGTTTTTATACTTGTCATACAAGTTAAAAAGAAACTAAAAGTCATCATAGTAATCTTATAATACTTTTTTGAATAACTATAACTCATATTAATAAACTGCTTTCAAAAAATTTTACATTTTAATTTATGCAATGTATTTTCATTTATTTTAAAAATTTCTATGTCATTTTTTTGTTTTTTTTAAATACATCTATATATAATAAAAAGAATGCTGAAAAGATTTTTGATCTTTTCAACAGTCAACGATAAGTGTTCATAATAATTTGTGCTTAACATATAAAATGATTATAGTAAGGATGGATGGATGGACTTAACTTAACTCAACTTAAACGTTAAAAGAATTTGGATTCCTATTGAAACTTGACCAAATTATCGAAATTTTCAAAAATCTATTCTCGAGAACTTCCAGATTTTTGAAAAATTCATATCTTCGAATTTTGATCTGAAACTTTACACATATTGAGATATTCATTTAGACTAACTTTCATGATAAAATTCAAGAGTTTTGAGCAGAGTTTTTTCGAAATATGAAACTTTCAAGATATAGACAATTTTTCATGGATAATGTATACAAAATGCATTTTTTTGAAAGTTTTATATCTCAAAAAGACATTCTTCGGTACTTCTAAATTTTTCTAAGAAAACTAATCTAATTAAGTTCTCCTATATGAGCAAAGTTTCAGATTAAAATTCGAAAATATGAATTTTCCGAAACCACGTGTATCTAGAAAAGTGACATATTATAAATTCTATAACTCACTTAAACTTCAACAGGAACAGAAATCCCTTCAAGATTTCAATTAAAACATTATGTAGTATAAAGAAGCAAAAAATCATTGAAATCGAAATGAAGCATTTGAAGAGATTTCCTCTTTAGTCTCATGTAAATATTGATTCAGTTCACACGACATCTACTTTGTAAGGTACAAGTCTTTCGTAAGATGGCATGAATAAACAGAAACTATGCGGATGTTTTGAATGATACAGAACGGCTTTATCTTATAACCAATGATTCTTTGATTTATTGATCCTTTTCTTTTTCAAAATTTATCTCATTTATTATAAATACATTGTTCTATTGAAATGAATAGTAGAAACGACAATCCAAAACATCCACTTGTCGTAATACATAATGTAACAACATTATCAACTCAACAAGTCGAAATATATTGTAAAAAATATGATAAAAATATTCGTTGTTTTCGTAAAAAAAATCGAAATAATCATCAATATATACATGTTTTATTTTCATCAATTGTAACAGCAACAAATTTTCTCAATGATCGACCACACTTTATTCAAAATTGTCGAATAAAGTAAACTAAAACAAAAAGCTAACTTTTTGAAAACAAATAAACAAAAAGATATTTCTTATTTTTGTAGTACATCCTTAGTTAGTGATCCTCTTTATGGACCAAAATTTGTTTGTGTACAAATCGATAAACGTGCTTTTGTTACTGAAGATGATTTATATGAATATACATCAAAGAATTTTGGACGTGTACTTAATTGTGTTTTATATAAGTCACGTAATTATGCATTTATTGAATTTCATCAATTAAATGATACACATCGTGCATTATCATCATCAAATCAAAAGTTAAATGGTTATTTAATTCAATATTGTCCTCGAAATAATTCATCAAAAATTCTTCCATTATTATCATTAACACGACTTATACATATTGGAAATTTTCTAAATAAAGATCAAGAAAAACTTCAATTTTATTTTCCTAATTTAAAAAATTTTACATTACATAAAAATTGTTACGGACAAACATATATATTAGGATTATTTGATATAAATGATAGTATTAAATTATTATTAAAACGTGCTTTTTGTTTAAATGGACGTGTATTAAACATATTCATTGATAATGATGATAAATTGACTGAATGTGATAATTATCTACTTGTACGTAATGTACCTTATCGTTTAAATGATTATAATTTACTTGAATATTTTTCTCAATATGGTCGAGTTCTCAATTGTTATCGATATGGACAAACAGATGCATATCGTATACAATATCGTGATAAAACAAGTTTAAATAAAGTGTTAGAATTCAATCGAATACATGTTATTAAAACTGTTCGAATGCAAATTGAACGTGAACAGAATTAGAACTATACCGGTGATGTTTATTTTCTAGTTTTTCTTTTTCCACTAAGTAAAATTTTGTTTCTCTTTTTCTTTGTTTTTTTTTCTGTTTTTTTTTTTGAATTATTAATAATAGTAATATCAGTTTAAGTATTACAGTTTTTTTTTTCTATCAATTAAATTAATGTATATTAGATTAAATAATATCCGATAGAGATCTTTGTTTTGTTGTTGTTAATCTTTGAGAAAGTTTAAATGTGTCAACGTTGATATTTCATTTTATGAAGTGTCATAATTTCCGTTCTATCGTTTTTTTTCTTGTGTTTTTTTTGCTCTATGTCGATTGCACTGAAAAAGAATAAAAGAAAACAACACGAGCAGTAAATCACACTCGTATTGATGCGTGATAAGCACACATGAAAAGAATCGCATGCATGTGCTCAATCAACTGTGTGGATGAGTTAGTTACTAATCGTACCGTACTGACGTCATTCAAAAGACTATGATAAAAAAAAAAGCGGCAATAAATTTCTGTTGCTGTGGTAACAAAAAGAAGAAAAAGAAGAAGAGCTATAGAAAGACTTAAGTATGAAACAGATTATATAAACACACGCAAACAACAGATGAAATAGCGAAACAGGCATTGTCTTTATTCCTTTTATTATCCATAAAAACGCGTGCTGACAGAAAGAAAACAATTTCCATCCAATGGATGTTTTGGCCTAAGAAAGACTGGAGAACACTATCATTATCTACCATACCAATATGCGTTGTTGCTATTAAAAACATCGGACTTTGCTTTCTGTCATTATTACAACTATTATCTGCCATTATAACGTGCCGTCAGTGTTTTTTCAAATTTATAATGAATGTTAAAGCCGTAAAGGTGAATAGATATGCATATAATTATATAGAGAAAAAAGACAAGGAGTCGTATGAATATACTTGAAGAGATACTACTCCTGCTGATAGTATTCGAATACGAGGAAGTTGATAGATGAGATGTAAGGCGACAATTTTTCATTTTTTACGATTGTCACTATAACAACGATTTTTAATTATCTCTTTTCTTCTTCGTTAATGTAATTTTAAGATTGACAACAACCTTCTTGTCATTTCCATATAATTGAATTGCTTTAGCTATTTTGTTTTCAGTCATGTTTTTTTTCTTTCTTGCTTAATAATATCCTTCGGTTCGATAAATATTTATATTAATCAAGAGAATGAATTTTGTTACAGATGTTCGAAAATCAAATTATCACCATCATTTCTCTTGAGTTGTTTTTTTTGTGTCATTAGAATTGGATAAAAATAAATACACTGGATGATATTCAGGTCAGAACAAATATTGTCAGAGAATATAAAAACATATAACACCTTTAGGCTTGTTGTGTTGCTTATTTTTATTGAGTTTTACAAAAAAAAAATTTGAACTAAAAGAATTGTTCAAAACAAATTTCAACGAGGATAAAGTAAGTTTAGTTTTTGTTTTTCATTAGTTATAATATTGATATATAAAATAATCTTTATTTTATATGATTTAAAAATATTATATTAAGAAAAAAAAAATAATGACTAAATTATTTTTTGAATATCTCGATATGGTGAAAAAACAAAATCTATTTGTAGATTCTTTTTGTTTTACCCTTTGACTTCAAATATTAATAAATCTCATTAATTACAATATAAATGAGAAATAAATATGCATAGAAAATGGCTTAATCAAGCAAGGAAGACAAAAATATAAAATTGAATTACTAATTTGTTCTATGAGACAATATTTATTAATGTTACTGCAAAAACATAGAAGATTAAATCGGATCTATTTGTATCTGTCTAAAGTATTTTTTTATTTTAATGGATTATAGTAATATGCATTTAGTGTGACGTTGAAGATTATCTCCTGCCAAGAGAAATATCCCGGAAAAGTTTCATTTCAATGAAAATCGATATTGAAAATTTGACTAAAAACTAGAATATGCTTATGTCATCCATTTTCTATTTCTCTTTTCTACTTTCTCATATTCTCATCTTTTTTTCATAGTTTTATGTAGCTAGAAATTAATTGTCGGATGCAAAAAAAGCCAGGAATTTCTCTATAAAAAATATTTTGTTTTCTTCTTTTTTTCTCTCTCTCTTTTTTCATATCTTATTTCTTTTGCTATTCATTGTCGCCTGAAGAATCCTCCGATAAGTTCATTCATTTGTCAAAATTATCATCCGCTAGAGCCTATTTCCTTTTCACGCTGACCAAGCATAGATTTTTTTTTTCTTGTTTTTTACTTAGTTTGCACTTCACTCTCATTTAGTCACATCGAAAAATGTATAAAACATCGAGTAATTCATCTGAAAATCAACAACAACAACGTCCGCCAGTACCTGAAATGCAACACCAACAACAACACGCATTATCTGAAGAAATGGTTGCTCGTTATTTAGCTCGTAAACCGAATTTTCTCAAACGATGGTTTAAAGATAATGCACCATCGGATTTATTACAAGAATGTATAAAAATAAAGGAACAAAAAGAATATTTAGCTAAACCACGTACATCATTAACACATGAAATGTTTAATAATATTGTTCAAGGTCATAGTATAAACCGTGACCTACCATCAACATCATCCCAAGCTGTTGATTATATGAATTTAAATGAACATGAACTTTTTTTTGAACTTATTCGTGATATTGCAAATGAATTAAATGTTGATGTTGTTTGTCATAAAATTTTAACAAATGTTTCAATATTAACAAATTCAGATCGTGGAAGTTTATTTTTAGCACGTGGTCCAAAAGATGCTCGATATCTTGTTTCAAAATTATTTGATGTTACAGCTGGTTCAACACTTGAACAATCACTTCATACTGAAGATAAACAAATTATTATACCATTTGGTAAAGGTATTGCTGGTCATGTTGCTTTAACAACAGAATATATCAATATTCCTGATGCTTACGAGGTAAGGTTATTTTGACCAGATGTAACAGTACTCATACTAAAAAAAAAAGGAAATTAATATATTGTTTAATGAATCATAAACAACTGCAAGATTTTTTCATGTATTTTTCTTTTATCATAAATATAGAAAAATATAATTTCTAATACAGACAAAAAAAAAAAGTTAATTTCTACAGAATTGTACAACAAGAACTTTGTTTTTTTGTTGTTGGTGCTGTAGCTTGTACAGGATGATTAGAATTTTTATTTGATTGTCGTACGTATGCTGTTTGTACATTTGAATGGACTTTGTTTTTTCCATGTTTTTGTTGATAAGAATTTTTTGTTCGATTTTGATTTTTATTAATTCGACCATGACGATGATAAAATGGATCAGTTGGATCAAGTCTTAAATGAGCTTTTTCATGAGCAGTTAGTGGAGGTGGTTGAGATTGTACAATAGCAGGCCGTGGAGACATATTATTAGATTTTTTTGAACGACAACAACATCCACTTGATTCAGCTACTGGAACATGATTACTACTCGATGGATTTTGTCGATAATTATTTGCTTGTCCACCATAAAGTGTACGCATTTTATATTGGTTCATGTCACGATCATTATATGAATATGGTTTTTGTTTTACCATTATGATGAATGATTTTAAACTTTAAAAATGCTTTCTTCTACTATTACATATGTCTATATATATATAAATACATATATACATATTTGTCTGTGCGCACGAAAAATTTCTTTCATAACGTTAATAGCACAGCACGACACTTATAGGCTATCACATTAATTTTCGTTCTATAAAAATTTATTGACAAAGTAGTTAATTTTCTTTTTTGCTTTTACTCTAATAGGATCCAAGATTTAACAAAGAAGTTGATAATAAAACAGGTTATAGAACACATTCAATATGTTGTATGCCTATATTAAATCGTGACAATGTTGTTATTGGTGTTGCACAAATAATTAATAAAAAAACTGGTACACATGAATTTACAGCTAAAGATATTAATGTAAAGAAATTTTTTTTAAAATGAAAAAACAAAAAAAAAAAAAAAGAAAAAACATAAATTTTTTTTTCAAAACACCTATAGGTCTTCCGTAATTATTTGACATTTTGTGGTCTTGGTTTATCAAATGCACAATTATTTGAATTATCTATTCAAGAATATAAAAAGAATCAAGTAAGGCAAGTTTTTTTTTTTTTCGTTCATTGATTTAAAACAATTATTTGATATTATATTACAAAACAAGTTGAATAATTAATACTATATATTTGTTTTTTTCGAAATTCTATTCTCGTCATGCCTGATGAGATTCGAATACATACACATATTTATAACGTCGTTTTGACAACAGAGACGAGAAAAAAAAAGAAAGAAAGGAAAAAAAAGAAGCAAAAAACAAGATGAGTGCTCTCGTTTTGTGTATGTGTGTGTGTGTGTGTATGTGTGTATGTAAGGAGTGCAGAACTCTTGTTTCTTTTTTTTTTTTTGTGACTTATTCTTGATTTTTTCCTTCTTTGTCTCCATCATGCGCACAAAAACTAATCAAGTTAGAATCTGATATATTAAATTTTCACGGAGCAATGACACAGTTTGGTTAATTCAAAAAAAACCTTCTAGAAGACATTAACATTTAATGCCATTGGGTAGACAAGAAGAAATTCAGCGAACAATCGCTCAATTTTCTTGTACTTCTAATTCATCACATTTGCCTTCGAACAATAATAAAGTTTATGATAATGGTCATTTACAGCCAACAAATATGTTATCAAATAATACAACAAAAAAAAATATAGAGAATTTCTCACTTTTAGTCAGACTTAAGGTCAGATTTATATATATATATATTTGTTTTTCTTTTTACATTTTAAAATATTAAAAAAGAAAATAAATATGAATATATTATTTAATAAATAATCATATGTTTTTGCTTTATGTTAAAATTTTAGCTTCTTCTAAATTTAGCGCGAAATTTATTTCGTGAACAAAATGATCTTGAACGTTTAGTACATAAAATAACAACTGAATCACAAGGTCTTATGCAATGTGCTCGTTGTTGTGTTTATATATTAGATCGACAAGGAACATCAAATAAGCCTGAAGTAAATCTTTATTTTTTCTGAATGTACAACAAAAATAAAACAATAAATTTAAAATTATTTAATTAATTTCTTCTATAGGATATTCATTTTTCCAAAGGATTTGATATGATTTATGGTGAAGAATTTAAAGTAACAACGTATGTAATATTTCCAAAAAAAAAACAAAAACAAAAACAAAATATTGTTTTATTTTTGTCTTTTCATTTTAAAAATAAAAATAAATATTTGTTTTTATTTTAGAAATGATTTTCTCGAAAATTCTCGTTATGCAAAAATTGCTTATCATGTGGCTGCAACTATGGAAACTGTTAATCTCAATGAAATAATGAATGATCAAGCTCTTGCACATCTTGTAAATTATTTATTTATTGAGTTGTAACATAAGTTCTGAGAATTGTTTGTTTCTTTTTTTAGGTAAGTTTGAAGCTTAATATCAAGTCACGAGATATAAAGCCTCGAATTTATCTTAAAAAAAAACAATTCTCAGAACTTATCTTATAAACCAATATTTAAGAAAATTAAAATGTTTTCTTGTTGCTTTAGTTAACATCGAATGGTGATGATACATTTGAATTAAAAAATATTTTATGTGTACCAATAATGGATAGTGATGGTCATGTTATTGGTGTTACACAAGTTATGAATAAATTAAATGGAAGAGTATTTACTGAAGATGATGTTGCAATTATTGAAGTATGTTGCTCTTTTCCGTTTTCTTTTTTTTGTATTTATATAATAAGAAAATAAAAATTTAATTTATTTTAGGCTTTTTCAGTTTTTTGTGGTTTGGGTATTCATAATACTCGTCAATATGAAAATGTTGTTCGTTTAACAGCAAAACAAAATGTTGCATTTGAAGTTTTATCATATCATGTTATTGCATCAGAAGACGATGTTCAACGTGTTGCACAAATATCAATACCTGAAGCAAATCAATTAAGATTATATGCATGGGAATTTAATGATATGGTTTTAACAGATGATGAAACAGTTTTAGCTAGTATAAGAATGTTTGTTGAATTAGATTTACCAAAAAAATTTCGTATACCACATGATGTTATATGTCGATGGGTATTAAGTGTAAAGAAAAATTATCGACCGGTGATTTATCATAATTGGAGACATGCTTTTAATGTTGCTCAAACAATGTTTTCAATGCTTACAGTAAGATAAACAAAAAAAAAAACAATCGAGATTTTGAAAAATAGTTTCTGTTGTTTTTCTTTATGAAAGATAAAAAAACAAAAACAGTATCTTTATTTAACTATTTATGAACAAGTAGATAATTATACTTGATAGGAATTAATTATGTAGATAAATTAAATCAAAATAGTAACACTTGACAAACAAGAGCTTTTCTTTTTTTGTGATTACTAATTTGACATAGATTAGCTTGATACTTTTAGAAGCCATGTCAATTAAAGGTTAGAAATAGAATTTACATAAGATGAAGTATCGAGATCAAGAATGTGCATCATCAACTTTTAGTGATGAATCGGAATTGGAACTATCAGCAAAAAATTTATCTCGATCAAAACGAAAGATTATTGGAAAATATTCTTTAGTTTTAAGTGAATTATCTTATGAATTATATCAATTTGAACATAGGTTAAGAAAAGGTGACCTAAAAGGGCAAGTCATTGAGTAAAGAAATTTAAAAAAATGAGTATTGAAGAATTTTGATAGATGTGATACACATATATTCTGGAATAGTTTTATCTAGACTACCATCGAGTCCACTAAAATTATTATTTTCTGGTTTGATTCATCCTTCATAATTCAACAGAAGTGTCTTTAGAGAACTATCAATGATTTGACTTCGATGACGATTTGTAAACTATTGATGTTTTCCGAACAATATTGACAGTAGTTGTAGAATTTTGAAGATTTCACAATATTTTCTTCGTTAGTAATATTTAGTAAAAAAAAAAGCATGAAGCTATAAAATATAATATATTGAAATATCTATTGAGATTTTTGCTCTTCTAAACACAAGATTCTTTTCGTTACCTCTTGAAAACTTCTTGACAGCTAAGTGCTTTCAAAGTTCATAGTATCAATAGAATGCAGATATTATTCTATTAGAGATTTTGAATTCTCAACAGAGTTTTGTTTTGCTGGAGTAGATGATGATTGTTGATTTTTCTTACAATCATTTTGGAATTCTAGTTTGATGGTTATTGTTGAATTCCTATGGTCAAAATTTTTGTCACTATGAACAATGAATTTATGATATAGAATTCTGTAAAGATTCGGCTAGTATCTTTGAATCCTCAGTAGAATTATCTAATCAAGGAATAGTTCAGTTTCAATTCATTGTGAGTACCCTAAGGATAGTTAAAAATGACTATATCTAGTGATTGAATTATCGATTATGTATCCAGTCTATAATTTACCATATGTCTCTTTTTTAAATATCTGAATTTAGTAATTTCTCGGTCATAATTTAGTAAACAAACCAAATTTTGTCACTTAAGATAGTCCTAAAATAAAGTAGATTTCTTCTATTCAATATTCTATAATAAATTATTCAACGATTTCTGCAATTTTTTCATAAAAATCTAAAATAGATCAACTTCTTAACATGAATATAAATGTATGTCAATGTTTTTCTAGACTGGTGGTATGAATGTTTGTATGAGTGACTTAGAACGTATTGCTTTATTAATCGCATGTTTAAGTCATGATCTTGATCATCGTGGAACAAATAATGCTTTTCAAGCAAAAGTTGATGCACCACTTGCAAAATTATATACAACATCAACACTTGAACATCATCATTTTGATCAATGTATTATGATATTACAAACTGAGGGAAATAATATTTTACAAACATTATCACCTGATGATTATAAATTAATTATTCGTTATGTTGAAGCAGCAATTTTATCAACTGATTTAGCACTTTATTTTCGGTATAAAATAAATAAATCAAAGAATTTGTTTATAATGAAAATCAAAAAAAAATGTTTGTTTTTTTTTTCTTTTATTTGCAGAAAACGAGGTGAATTTCAAAAATTAGTCGAAGCTAATGAAGAACATTGGGATGATCCAGGAAAAAAAGAATTACTTAGGTATAAAAATTTTCATAAAATCATTCAATTAAGAAAATTTATTTTTTTTTTTGTGTTTTTCAGAGGAATGATGATGACAGCATGTGATGTAGCAGCTATTTGTAAACCATGGGAAATTCAACAAGTTGTTGCTAAATTAGTTGCAAGTGAATTTTTTCAACAAGGAGATATTGAAAGAAATCAATTACATGTTGAACCAATTGTATGTTTAGATATTTTTTATTTTCATTTTTTAAGAAAATATATGTTTATTTGTTTTTTTATTTAGCCAATGATGGATAGAGAAAAAAAAGATGAATTACCGAAAATGCAAGGTTTGTTTTTATAATATAATGAGTTTTAATTTAAAAAAAAAATCTCTTTCATAGTTGGTTTTATTGATTCAATCTGCCTTCCACTTTATAAAGTAAATTGAATTTTCTTTCATAATTTAATATGAAAAATATCAAAATA